GGTCAGCACACACACACACATCATTATCACTTACACACATTATACTTTACACATTTAAACCTCTATTCCACTAAACAACTAGTTAGGTAACAGTTGTACTTTAAGAGTCGGCCTTTAGAAAACTAAAAACTATTTAACTACGTCGTAGTTTATGACTCCGAAAAAAAAATGGGACCCTCCTGCAAGCACAACCTTTCCGATAAAAAAATAACAAAACCGGTCAACTAGCGGCGGAGTTATGCCGTAACACACATAAAAAAAAAACAGACGAATTGAGTACCTCCTTCTATTGAGAAGTCGGTCAAAAGAAGGGAATCGTTGCTAAAATTAGACTCTCCAATAATAATCTTAGATTAATAATCTTAGATTTAACTGAAAAATTAAACAATTAAATATATATTCTGTTAATAACGAAATAGATTAATGCATATCATATTTTTGGATAAGAATAATTAAATATATATTAAGGAAATCGCTCTATAAATATAATTGACGTAGGTCAGGTGCGGCAGGCAGTTAACAAATTTAACTTAATAGGTTAAAATTGACAGTCTATAGTACTTAGCTTCACTTTATACTATCACTTTAAACAAAGAAGATTACAGTTGTTGGGTAAAATAAGTCTAAGAGCTTGTCCCACTGAATTGTAGACTGTTTGACAACAATCCAATTTTGTTACCTTATCTGACTGTGACGTCATTTTTAAGCTATCTGAGCTTATCAGCCAGTAGTGGGACAGGCCCTAAGTCTCATTACAGCCTTTTAAAAATGATTTTTAGATTGTGTATTGAATTAGGTTATTCGTTGTGACATTGTTGAATGTAACACTAGATGTGACGAGTGCCAGCGCCGTTACCACTTCACGTGCCTGGAGCCGCCGCTGAACAAGAACCCGAAGAAGCGCGGCTACTCGTGGCACTGCGCCGACTGCGACCCCACCGTTAGTGAATACATCACATTTTACACTAACATTAACAACGCCCCTAGGCCCTAGACCACTCTCTGCACAAGCATGCGGACTAACGCTTTTCTAACATGGCTCTCTCTCTCTCTCTCCGGATCGTTTCCTCATTCCTGAGGGTCGCCACCACTAACATGGCTTACCTGATGTGTATCACTATTATATGTTTTACTATTTGTTGCTCGCGACTTTCTCTGCGTTAAATTAAAATAATATAGCCTATGTTACTTCCTGAATAGCTTTTTAATGGTGCAAGAATTTTTAAAATGACCCCAGTAGTTTTCGAGTTATTTTCTCTTTGTAATATAAGTATAGATATAGATTTACTTCCGGTTTGTTCCATCGAAAATCCCGGCACCTTTGACTATGTCATTTTTATACAAATGACAATGCATTGATGAAGTGAAGTGCAAGTTTTGAAGATTAGAACGTGGGTACAAACACTATAAGACGATGTAATAAATGGACCTACGCTAACATATTTAAACAAAGATTAATTTTTGTTTTAAATGAGATTTTACTAACATTTTTGAATTAACGTATATCTTAATATTGAAATTAAATTGCATGTATTTTATACACTTCACTTTCCGACACTTTTTAGTATGCATAAGTTTTTATATTGTGTTTGTATTCAAATGTACTTTTCGCATGCATTTAATTATTTCTTATGTCACACACTGCCGGTTCTCGAAAAACACTTTATACGTATTTATTTACTTTTATGTATATAGTTTGTAATTTAATCGAAAATGCTTATTATCTATAGGGATATTGCAATTATAAATTGTTAATCGATGGCAATGGCTCTTGCAAAACACTTTTATTTTAAATTATCGGTCAAGCAAATTGGTCGTTGATTAAGTAAAAATTAAGTCGCTAGATTATTGTTTTGAATTCTTTAAATATATATTTTTTTCAGTTTGTATACTAGCTAGAGTTGTCGATTACTGTAATTTCGTCAATTTTTTTTATATATTGTAGGGTTATTGTGATCTAGATATTATACATTAGTATATATTTTTACAGGACGTGGAGGAAAACAACTGAGCGGTACACACATGCAGAAATAAGATTATTAAGTATTAAAAATTGTGCTAAGCACTTTTCTTCTATTGTATTAGATTCCTCACACTAAGCATTTAGTGTAGTACTTATTGTATTTAGTTTTAAGTCTCTATTTCGAGTATTTACATTTATGTTTATGTAGTCATTTGTGAACATTTGTGGTACTTTCAATAAATGTGTTTAAGTACAATTTTTTTTTATTATTTTAAAAACATAACATTTTGTGGCAATCCTACTAATTAATGTGCTTCAAAATAAATGAGAAAACAGTAAAACGAATTGATGACTTTCATTTTTGTTCCGAAGAACTAATTCGCTAGAATAAGCTCTGATTTTTTGCTCCAAAGAGTCTGAGAAAAGTTTGAGCAACGAAGCGAGCAGACCCAATCGAGTAAAAGGGAAAGATCAGTTCTCTATTATCTACTCGGATAGCCGAAGAGGACGTACGTTTACGCTTCATTTCTTTTAAATCTTTAACGCTTTCTTATTAATATCATTTATCACCTAAATTGACTTAATGAGGAAACAGTTTTTTTTTCATTTTAATGTCAAACGGGACAGAAATTGAATATTACGATTTTAAAATCTAATACTTCTATACCGATGTAATAAAGCGTAAACTCACAGTCCTTCGTGGTATAGGATGTCAGCAATCACAGCATATTTTTGAATAATTCCTTTTATAAAAAGCTCTTACGTTTACGACACGCTTTAGGCTATATTTCCACGATATTAAACTTAAGGGGTGAACAAAATGGAAAAAAAACTACACGTGGGAAAGGGATTATAAACTATAATACAAGCTGCCAACATTAAGGAACCAAGGTTATGGTAACGGAAAATTTGACATTTGCAATTGAGAATTTGACAAATGTAAACAATACAATAAAGTTTTCATAATTTCATGCCGATGAAGCTACAGGGGAATAGCTAGTGTTCACATAAAACTGACAATATACTATAGTAATTACAAATAATGTTCTTCATTAAAGTAATAATTATGGAGGAATAAAAACTAATGTGTTTTGCGATGTAGTAAATACCCATTGTCTTGGCTTCATGCTGCAGTTGAATCGCAATATTAACATTAACAACTTGACAATAACAGTGCAACAAACGCGTCGTCATAAATCGTCAGAATAATTTCTTGGTCCTAAATTACAATTGAGCGTCGATGGCTCTGTGGTTTATGCATTTAACTTGTAATCTAAAGGTCTTGGGTTCGAATCCCGCCATGTACCAATGTGGTTTTCGATCTTCAGAATTTTCATATGTACATAATTTACCCGACGTTCTTACGGGGAAGGAAAATATCGTGAGGCAACCTGCACATATCGGCGAAGAAATTCAAAGATATGTGTGAAGTCGACCAACCCGCACTAGGCCAGCGTGGTTGCCTATGACCTAGTCATTCTAATTTAGAGTATGCTCCGAGCCCCTCGGTGGGGACATATAGTGAGCTGGTGATGATGATGATGATGAATTACAATACTGAACATAAACTAAGTATTGAAATGTTAACTGTACCAGGAAATTACTAAAATATCATGTGAAGGAGATTATAAATTCCGGACTCATGACAAACATTTTTTTCTTTTTAAAATATGCTAAAACATAAGGCCACTACAAGGAGTTCATTCGTTCATTCATCATCGACTTGCTGTGGGGCGGTAAGTGTCCGGCCGTTAACCTTAAAGGTCATTAATGGGTGCTAGCCGAATGTTATGTACAGCTGTAATAAAAAAAGAGTAAAAACAAAGACATGTTACACGCGAAGCTAAATTTAATCTAAACAAAGACGCGAGTCGTAACTATAGTGTGTAATAATTGAATTATAAATGGAAAAACAGATTAACGAAATAAAAATGGTAGGTATCAAATTATGTTGTCAGTGATTAAAAACCAATTAATTAACAAGACAACAAAGAAAACAATTTATCTTTGTGTCATTATTAAGATATTAATAATATTTATCATCTATTCAAGAATAATTTGCTGTCCTAGATCTAGGTTGCCCTTGATGACCTTGACTCCATAACCTATTTGGTTTTATTTACGTTTGACTTACATCATTCAATATATTTATTAAACCACAAAAACTTGAATAAAGTACTTTGGTCTCGCTTTATACTTTAGAATAAAAAAAATTGACGTAGTAATATGACCTTGTCTTCTCTTAAAAAAAAAGTTGGTTATTTCACATTCTACGCATGTGTTTTGTTTAGTACGATTAGTAAAATTACCGTAGACCTAGTTTTTTGACACCATAAAAAGTCGACATAGGGACGTTCACCTGATGATTCATCATTGTAAAGTAGAAATATGATTTTTAAACAAAACTCTACACTTGTAAATATACGTTCGAATGGTAGTTTTAGATTCTGTCCTACTAGTGAATATTAAAGTTCGTGAGCTTATTATTATTATAATACGCACCTGTTATTTTAATATCTTAAATGTAAGCTTAAAGAAAAGTAAACGACGAACCTGTTTATAAAATATGACTTGCAAGGTTACAAAGAGTTTAGCGGTAACGTTGTGTCATACAAAGTCCTCTTGTTTAATAATTCTAAGTATAACATTAATCGACATAATTTGTACTAAAATCATAATATTTTAAATTAACAAGGAGTAAACTCTGCCATACTCCTTACCAAGCTTAACGCTTTCATTAAAATTCGCAGCATAAAAAGCGTCATATTATTAAAACACGATTTTACTTCTGCGCGGTCAGACTGCATGATAACGGTTGCGTTAAATTAGTATTCGAACGTATCCATCCTTTGGTTTTCCAATATTTACAACTAGCTTGTCCTCCGGTACAGTCGTGTACGCAAGTACTCGGACGTAATTGTTTTTAACTCGACAAGTTACTGTATAGGTGATCGGCGGAGTGTCGTTTGAATTTAGATATCGGTGTTTTATTTATTTTTTTAATTTTGTAAAATTTAGTGTAACCTAAAGTGCCAGTACTAGTAAAATGACGGTGCCGGCGGGTAATATCGTTGTCGGAATAATCGAAGATCTCTCCCCCAAGGATCAACAAGCTAAAATAAAGAACAGACTTCTAATTTGGTGTTTACTGTGGTGGCGAGCTATATTTGCAGAGTTTCTATCTACAATGTTTCTGGTGCTGATCGGCTGCATGACATGTATACCGAGCGACGGAGTTCATCCCAATCCTCCCATCTATGGTGCTCTTGGCTTTGGATTCGCTGTGTTGTTCACTGTGCAAGCTTTTGGACATATATCTGGTGCTCATATGAATCCATGTGTCACTTTAACTGCGGTGTTATGGAATAAGATATCCTTACCACTTGGGGTAGCGTATGTTATAGCTCAATGTTTGGGTTCAATTTTTGGTTATGGTATCCTAATGCAAATATCGCCGACCGATTTAATTTTAAACGGTATTTGTACAACTCAGCCACACGAGAAGCATTCTGTGATGCAAACTTTTATCGTTGAATTGATTTTGACGTCGGCTTTAATATTTTTAGTCTGTGCAATATGGGATCCTTTGAATAGTAATTCACAGGAATCGACATCATTAAAATTTGGTTTCGCTGTGGCGGGGTTTTCGATGGCGGGTGGTCCACTGACAGGCGCTAGTCTGAACCCCGCGAGGTCACTTGGTCCGGCCCTTTGGACGGGTGTTTGGATCTTTCACTGGGTTTACTGGACGGGTCCCTTGTTTGCCAGTATGCTGGTGTCGTTATTCTATAAATACACTTGGTTGAAACCAAGTCTTGATATAAAGGTAAACTTAGAAGAGTAGTTTTGTTATTATTAAATAATACGTATTAATTTATTTATGTAATAATGATAAGTTAAAGGTAATCATCCCACTATATTTATAACTGTTAACGTGAAGGATTTTTTAGTATAGCAGGACTAATGTCCTATCAAAATACAAGCTCTAAAAAAATATATTGCAATTAAAGTAAACTTTTTGTTTTTGAATGACGATCATTATTTGTATTACGATTATAAAGATAACTGTTTGCATACTTTTGTAAGTTGTTTCTTACCTGTTTTAAACTAAGGAAGTAGGCATGTCGCTTTACGCAAAACATTTTATAAATACACAGGACTCTGCTGCATATCCTTTGCTGGCTCCTATACCATGAAGACGTCAATGGAAGACTGGAATGCTGGTTCTACAAATATGGATTAGGTACTACGTAGTATTTTATTAAGGTTTTTATACTATTTAAATAATACTGAAAAAAAAATTAAGACGTGGATAATGTTGATTAGTTTTTTAAAAAATAATCTAGTTTTTTGTTGGTTAATTTACACTATATGAATATTGTATAGTATCTAGTTTTAATAATTTATAAAATATTGCTAAAATGTAAAAGTAAGCAAATCTGTGATTACAAGTTTATCCTTGTGAAATATTGGTGTGTAGAATTTTTAAAAGACTGATAAATACATTTTTAAATACAATTTCGTCTTATTATTTAAGTTATGCATTAAATGAAACCCTATATAGATATAATATTAAGGTTGGTTAGTTCTTGTTTTTACACATTTAAACATTTTGCCAACTACAATAATGTCAGTAAGGAAAATAAGCATGTTATGTCAAAACTGGTTTTTGTATTTATAAGTGAATCATCTGACGAGAAACACTATAAAAACATTGGTTTAATTCTTGTTTGATTTTAAAATAGTAAACAATGTTCGTAAGTTTTGAAGTGTAGCAGATGTTATGTAAGTTATCGGAGCTCGCTTAAAATGTATGTTAATAACTTAATTAAGTATATCCGCGGATGAAGTGTGAAGTAATTAAACGTGTGGACACACTCTTACACCAATTGTGATAAGAGAATTACATAAGTATATCTTTTATTATTAATGTTTTAACTAGCATAGTTTGTTACAAAATATAATTATTATTTTGATTATAATTATTATGATGTAAGTGTTTTTTTTTATATCATAAGGTGGCAACGAGCAAGCGGCCACCTGAATCCGACAAACTGCAAAAGAGACTGCTGCCCATAGATATTCACAATAGCGGATGCGTTGCCTACTCTTGATCGACGAACGAAACGCACATAAAGAGGATGTTTCCTCTTCCTATGCGTCTCTTCCAGCATCAAATTCACGTTGTCTTCCCATCCTTTTCTTATAAGAAAGAGAGTGGGAAGGAAAAGGACCTAAAGTTGGACCTCCGGAATACTACTACAATAATATTTTGAATACTGCGATCCTTTACGTTTAGTAAAACATTTTGCTCGTAGTCTATGTACGAATTGGAGTATTTAATCAGTAGGTACGTTTACTCCGTTTCTTTTATAGTAAACACAAAATAGCTTATTTCTGAAAACACAAAAACATACAGAATAAATTTACCATATAGACAGAAAAAGTCAATTTTGCAGCCAACGTTATTCGTGTGATAAAGCACGCCTCGTGAGTTCGTGAGTACGATGACTGTAGATTTACCTTTTTCTACAGTTAAGAATTTATTTCTATACAAAAAACCTTGAATTCTGTATAGAATCATCTCCCTTACTTTATCCTACTCCCACAGGGTCGGCGCGCCGGGTTTTCATCCTCCACGTAATTCTACCATCCGGTATCTCAGTCATCACTTCCTTCTTGAGATGTCACTTTTCACGCAATCCATCCATTTTCTTATAGGTCTACCTCTACCGTGAATTTGGTATAGAATGTTTAAAAAATGTATCAAATATACTAATAAACTGTGATTGACTAGTTAGTCATTATAAATTTGATTTCGAAAATATAAATATAATTTGTAGGTACGTGCTTATGTCCATTTAAGTTTTTAAAATGCGTTTAGAATCATTAAAACTCAATTTACATTTATCCCAACGGCATTGTAATGTATTAGATGTGTCATGTTATAAAATTGGATAACATGAGGAAAACCATAGATAGCTTGTAATTCGGCCTCTTGAAAATGAATTAATTTGATAACAAAATCGGTATAGTATTTATCCTATACAGGATAAATATGAGGTACAGAGCAGGTTGGAAGAATGGCGGGTTAAATTGGAGGGAGCTGGTCTTAAAATCAGCAGGACCAAAACTGAACATTTGTTTTGCGATTTTGGCGGTCCGACCAGCTTCTCTCCAATCGCCTTAAATGGTGTGCCTCTACCAACCTGCTCCGACTTTAAGTACCTCGGTTCTCTAGTCCAGTCCGACGGTGGCGTTGACCGAGACGTAAAAAGCCGAATAAATGCAGGTTGGATGAAATGGCGACAGGTTACTGGTGTGACTTGTGATCCAAGAATGCCTCTTAGGCTTAAGGGACAGATCTACAAGTCCATCATAAGACCTGTCGTATTGTATGGATCTGAATGCTGGGCCACCAAAGTTGCGGATGAAAGGAGATTGCATGTGGCTGAGATGCGTATGTTAAGATGGATGTGTGGTGTGACAAGATTGGATAAAGTTAAGAATGTGTAGATTAGAGGAAGTTTGAAAGTAGCGCCAGTGATGGAGAAATTGAGAAGCAAAAGGTTAGCGTGGCATGCACATATTATGCGACGAAATGATGGGGACATAAACCAGAAAGTGTTGAGATTGAATGTGGATGGCTACAAAGGAAGAGGAAGACCGAAGAAAGTATGGATGGATTGTGTGAAGGAAGATATGCTTAAGAAAGGAGTGGATTCAGATATGACGGCTGATAGAGATGTATGGAAGAGCAGCACATACTGTGCCGACCCTCCATAAGGGATAAGGGCAAGTGGATGATGATGAAAATCGGTATAGTATTTGAAGTCAAACTTTATCACTTACAACAGTATCAGCAACTCTTACTGGTGTTTATTAAATTATTGTACTAGCTGTTGCTTCCGACTTCGTTGCGTGAATTAAAAAAAACAAAAGCACAGACTATATTACTGATAACGTAGCTTTTTAATGGTGAAAGAATTTTTGAAATCGGATCAGTAGTTTTTGAGTTATTTCAATACATACAAAAATTCAAAGATCCAAAAATACCTCTTTATAACATTAATATAGATGACAGGAAGAACCTTAATATTTCGCTTAAGTTCTGATCGTTAGAACGTAGTTTTCCTTCTTACTTTCGTTTCTGGACGTAGCTCAAGGATAGCGATTGTTTAACTAAAGGCCACAGCAGTTTGTTACGTGACTTAATTTCGAATTATTGAGATAATTATCATGTCAAATTGGGAATTAATTTTATATTTCTACAGGATTTAATTTGTTGAATTGAAACGTTTGTTAAATTGAATTTTGAAATTCCCTTATTGTTACTATGTTCTCCTTTTAGAATACTTATCTTACTACTTACTAAATGTTAAAGTTTGTATAGACGGATGGATGTTTGTTAGAGTTTATAGCCTAAATGACTTAATAGATCTTGATGAAATTTGGCACAGATGTAGAGGATAGTCTGAAAGAACATATAGGTTTCTTGCTTTTGTTTTTTTTTTAATTCGTCGTTAATTTAAGTCGTTTCTCGTGCGAAAGCTAGGTTATCTGTATCTTTTGGGGCTACAGTATTTTACGTTTAAAGCTAAGGATTTGTATAATGGTAAATTAAGTAAACTCCTCGGTAGATTTAAATAGGTAGTTTGTGTGGTGGCGTCGAGCAGTTAACGAGGTCGCAGTCTGTTAGCTTTACATTTTCTTCGGTAATTGAATCCGCGAGCAGCATTCTATTGAGTCGCTTTACTTTATACTAAAATAAATATTTTCTTTTATACAAGATCATTTCAGGTTAAAGAAATATTGATTAACGTCATATTTTTCACATTTAGTATTTAAAAAGACCAGGATTGAATTGCAATTGAAATGGTAGCAACTGGCAACTGTCATGCATTATCTAATAAGACGAGCAGGTTATCTCCCTCATACTTATTGGAAAAACTGCGATAACAATATGTTTTGTACGGGTTCTGCAATAGTGGAAATAGTTATAGTATCGACGTGAGCAAAGCAATCAAGTCCGACGGATAGTAATCCTCTATTAGCCGTAGTAGACGACGGGACGGGACCATTTTACTTTTCAATTACCTTCGTAGGCTCTCATACGATATAGAATTCAATATATTAGAAAAACTGGTTATTGATACAAGATTAAACTTTTATAGGATTTTTGTTTTGCTTTTATTTTTGGTTCTCGAACACATTTTTTGATTTATGTGTTTATGTTCTTTCTTACCTGACATGTTGCCAAAGGTTTGATGTATTAGAATGTGATATCTTTCTAATTTTCTTGTTCTCCGATAACATCAGTTTCGATTCGATTCTCCGATAACTTACAGTTAAATGTTTGCTTGTTAAGTGGTTATTTCCGTCAGCACTGATCAGAAATCAATCTCGGTATGTGATAATTAAAAAAATAACATCATTGTACTAGCACGATCACTTTACGGTTGATTGACCTATAAAACTACAGCTAATAATTTCGCGATAATTAGTAAAATAAACAAGTAATTTTGTTCATAACTGATATTTTTGATTCAGTATTTTCATGGAAATGTCAGAATGAATGACAATATGCTACTTTTTTTAAACTTCTCACTCGATGTTTTAAACGCGGCTTAGAAATACCATAAATTAAGTAAACTACGGTAGAGGTAGACCTAGAAAGAAAGGGGTGGATTGCGTGAGAAGTGACATAATCAACAAGGGAGTGATGACTGAGATGACGGATGATAGGATTATGTGGAGGATGAAAACCCGGCGCGCCGAACCTGTAGGAGTAACCTTATGAGGGTGATTCCACCGATAAAATTTCGTTACTTATACATAAATTCCTAACGTTTTTAACTTTTTTTACCGTAAGATTTTCACTTTAGATCGAAGAGCACTGCCAATAAATGTCTAGTAGTCTTTAAAATAAATAAATGCGGTTCCGATTTCTTGTTTAAATGTACTGAAGAAAAGTAAATGTCTGAAAGCGGGCAGAAGCAATCAACTGGGAGGCAAGAGAAATTGTATAATGTATTGTATGAGATTGATTTTTTTTCACTTTTCTACTTGTTGTTATAACGAATTGTTATTGTACAAGAAGTTGATATTTGTATACTTAATTACTGTGTCAAATAACAATTCTGAATCTTCAACTGATCATCATTCCAGCCCTTTGTAGGTCGCCTTTATGTTAAGATATTTCCATTTTCGTCTTTCTCTTGTGGTCTTGTTTAGCCTTTTTACCTACTTTAAGAATACAAAAGTAAAGACAACGTAATTACTAGCTTACAACTTTTAAAGTAAATTAAAGTGTTAAATTTATGTATTTTACTTCCAACGTGTGATCTACAAATTGAATTTTATGGTAATTTTATTGCAGAGCTTTAAAAGAGGTGAGTCAGGTCGGAAGCGAGGCGCGGCGACGCTGAGTGATGCCCCATTA